TTGACCTTAAGGTACATTAAAACGTAATGTAAAATGTATATTCTGTTGCCAATGTCAGCAGTTTCTTGGAAAGGTCTCACTCCAGCAGCTGCTGCAGAGTTTTTATGTAGGTCACTGTCAAGATCAACAACCTAACACCCAACAGTGTAACATCATCTGTAATGGAGTACTTTCTCTTGTCCACTTCTGTGACTGTCATGTCACCTTGACTGCCTCCCATTTAGGTCATGGAGCACTCAAGATGTTTGTTTGGTCGTCAAACCATTTCTTCTTTATTTCTGTAACAGTATGGCTGTGCAATGACAAGGCCTTCACACCTGTACTCCTCATTTTTTTGATCCCCTAAAATCACTGAGGACACTTCAAGCTCTGAATGCTCACAAACGCAGCACCTCCTCATGAACAGGTGGCACTCATCAGGTTGAAACGGGGAATTTAAAACAAGTTTGAGCAGTCCAGGGGGGTTGTTGAATCCAACTTGGAACAATCTTACAAGCTCATGTAAAAAAAAAAAGGTGTAGGATAAGAAGGAGAAAATGCATTCTTAAAAAAACATATTGATTTATTATACAGTAATAGGAAAGTGCTTAGCCTCTGTGCTGCCTGTTACTGTTAACCTGTTGACGTAAAAGAGTGAAAATCATTCATCAGTCATTTTTAGATTCTAAATCCTTAGCCTCTTCTAAAATGATGTTGTGCTATTCTTTAAGGATTATGCTGTGAATAGATTCCTCGCTGGTGAGTAATGGTTTAATTTCATACTACCCCGGCAGAGGCATGGCGCAATTAAACTGAGGCTCAGTGCTTTCTCCTCATTTATTATAATACAAACAGCAGTAATGAATATGTGAATGCAGCAAATGTCATATAATATGTATGATGAATATGGCTGGGATGCGGGTAAAGAGCATAAATAGTTTATATGTTACTAGAGGCATTGTGAGGAGCTGACAACATAGGGCTCTGAGGCCATATAGCAACAGGATTGCTGTTTTAATCCAAACTATCAGTTTGCAACAATTTGTCATACTGTAAATAAAGTAACAATTTGTATTGTTGTATTGTATTATCGGACAAAGAAAGAAATAACAACAACTCTTCATTGAATGGAAAGGGCAGTTGAAGAAGACGCAGTAAAGAAGACACCATAGATACATTGAATTCAGTATATAGAATATGGGTTTCCCATATGTACTGCCATTCATAGTTTTCTGTGATTTGGTTTTACATATGAAGCATTAGGCAGACAACAACAGGGTTAAAATAATCTGGGTTTAATTATATAAGGATAAGGTTGTTCATCTCCATTTTCTGCTCTGGTTTCATCAGAAACTGCAGAATATGCTAATTAACCAATGATGTGTATATGAATGAAATCTTATGTCGTTAAGGCACTGCCGCCATCTTGTCGATTGTTGTTGTGTTGTCGATGTGATTAATCTGTATGGATGTAAGTGTGACACTATGAGCAACAAATCTAGTGTCAGCCATTTGGAGCAATGAAGAGATTACAAACACACTACCAAATACATGTATGAGCCAAAATACTGGGAACCATCTCCAGGACTGTTCTTCTGATGAAGTAATTTATTATCTTTCATCGTGGAAGACCGATTGCAGGAAACCTCCCAGGCCAGACAGGTCCAATTTATCAGGAAAACATTAACCTCACAAGTGCCTCCCACAACAGCTTAAGTTTGTTCGGATCCGAATTAATCTTTTGAACACCAAAGTCACACAAAAAGCTTTAAAAAGCTTAAATCACACAATAACCTGGCCGCGGTAACATTAAAATTACTGTTGTTGCCAGTGGAGTTTGGTGGTTTTGAAGAGAGCGATAAAACAGCTATCTCTGGTTAAACACAGGATCTTACTTTTTAAACAAAAATTTAAATGCATTCTATTGTTACTGCCTGTGTCCTGAGCTCTTTTGGGTGGACAGGCAAAGATTGTAGATAGGGGCTGTTGTGGGGGGCACCCGTGAGGTTAAAGGCGTATTTGCGTTTGCCAGATAAACAGGAACTGCCTGGCCTGGGAGGTTTCCTGCATTTGGTCTTCCATGATGAAAGAGAATAAATTTCTAAATCAGGAGAACTGTACTGGACATGGTTTCCAGTATTTTGGCTCATACATGCATTCACCAGTGTGTTTATAATCTCTTAATTGCTTAAAACTGCTGACATTGGATATTTTCTTGTTGATTCACTCAGTGTCACACTTCACACCGAACACACAAGATGGTGCCAATGTGGTATTGATGTCAGATTTCATTCCATATATTCAGACTTCATTCAATATATTCAGATTTCATTGCATAGATTCAGACTTTCATTCCATAGATTCAGACTTTCATTCCATAGATTCAGACTTTCATTCAATAGATTCAGATGGACAAACTTCATATATGTGTGTGTGTGTGTGTGTGTGTGTGTGTGTGTGTGTGTGTGTGTGTGTATAGCATATACAGTATATATAGTATATACAATGTAGGCTATATAATATTTTGTCTGTGTAATTAGCTCAGACCATACAGAACTTTGGGATACAGTGATGGAAGCAAAGCTACTAAAAATAATTAGTCTGTGTTGTATTTTGTGGTTACCAACCACGTCAGCACTGTAATTCTTTTGTCTTGCCTAAAACATACCTTGCCTCTCGCTCTAGTTGACTTCATAAAACTTAGCATAACATTAATATCGAGAGTGAACAAGTGAAGCAGAACTGTCCTGTTGTTCCATAATTAGACTGAGCCTGTCAGCTAACTAAAGCCTCCATAAAATATACAAAAAAAAGAGGTTGCTGCAAACTCTGTCACACATCACAGCACATCCTACTTTTTCCATTCTGCATTTTGTCAGAAGACAAAGCTGGTATAGTTTTATAAGTGGGCCATGATGCTGCTAGGGCTGGAGGCAATGGGAGCATAAGGATAAAAAGGGGCTCATTACAGCACTTTGGGTGAAAGTGTCATGTAGCATATGTTACACTTAGAAATAAATAATGATAATAATAATACAAGCAACACCCACATGGTAATAGACCAAAGCGTGTTACAGTTAATCGCCAGTGCAGTTTTATTAAAAGTAGACTCTCACTGTATTTTCTCAAGTCAAGAAAAGTATTTAACCAAGTTCTTGTATTTCCAAGAAAGATAGCTACATTCTAGTGTTCTGCAGTATCAAAATGTAAATTTTTCTGACTCGGGACATTTAACTGGCTATATGTAGTTTATCACTTAAATCACTTATTAATAAATCAAATTTTAACTTCCGTATTGTCAATGGGCTCTAATCTCACTCACAGGAAGCACACGCCTGTTTCCTCTGTTGCTTGTATCATCCACTATTCCGCTTCTATTTGAGGACAAGGGGTCGGATTCAGCCCTGTGCGCTCTCCGGAGCCTCTCTCCGACTACAGCAAGCCCTGTGCTGAAGCCTGCCAGGCCAAGAATCGGATGATGTTGAGTAAAACCAGTCAACATCAACAATGACTGTGTTACGGAGAGAGTCACGTTAGCTCACCAGCTAATGCCAAGCAGTTGCTAACGTTATCCGGTGCAAAGTTGTATCACTTTCCATGTTACTTCACCAAGTACTGATTTAGCTTTCAAGAAAGGATGTAACGGTAAAAAACAAAACTGGAGCTATTTGTTTACTAGCCTATAGTTATACAGGCAGGGCAGCCAGCTAACGCTACATTAGCTTGTGTTTGCTTCGTAAAGTTTATACTTTGATACTCAGGCACAACTTCTCCACCTCTCAGTCGCTGTAACTAACGTGACCCACTTAACATACAATACTGCAACACAACAGCAACAACAACATAGAGGAAGACTCATCTACTAATGTTACAGTAAAGTTACTTACTGCGGTCTAACTGTTATAAAGTTAGGAACAATCTCATTTATAATATTCAGTTCTGATAGAAATATTACTGTAACGTTGCAGTGGGAGTTTACCTGAGTTTCCAGCATGGTGTATAAAGCTGTCTCCCTGTCTGTCTATAGACACTCTCACACTGCCTGTTCTTCGGGAGTACTGTGCCGATATGCGGCTCGCTGCGCTGTATGTAGCCGAAGTTAATCTGACTCTGAGCCGGGAATGTTGAAGTAACAGAGCCGCATACTGGTTTACCTGCGTTTATTTGCAGGATCTCTGACTGAAAGCGGTTGTGTTTCGGATTATGCTCGCTCATGAGTTCAAGCAAGCACACACCTGGTTGGTTGCAATCTTAAAACCACACCGCTAGCAGCCACTGGAAACTACATATTGCCCCTTTAAAAATTAAACAAGAAAGAAAATTACTGAGAGTCAAACTAGCAGCTCTGTGAAGCTATAATTATGCACAGCATGCTTTAAACTCAGCATGCTAACATGCTCTCAATGAAAGTAAACAGGCTGATGTTGATCAGGTAATGTTCACCATGTTCGTTTAGAAAAATATGTATTTAACCCTATCCCCTAAAATTTTATTCTGGAGCAAAAGTCAACCCAATTTTCATCCCTGCAGACCAGCTGCAAAATTTAAATATAAATTTAAATATAAAAACTGAGTTTTTCTGTGGAGCTTGGCTTGGATCCAGCAATTGATGTGGTTGATGCTCTTGCCATGTTTACAACAGTATTGTATGTTGTCTGCTGTTGTGTCTTGAACCAGTGAAACCTTGAATCAGTGGTTATGGTTTACGTCCAAAAGAGGATCTCCACAGCAGATTCAACAGGCTAATTGGTCAGGAGGTCACTGAAGGCAGTAGCAGACATCGCGTGCATAGCTACTAGACTTGAAGTTTTTGACTTTAGCCGGATTCTGTCTTAAGTTCTGAAAATAAGACTTTAAAGGGAAGCACAGATTAAGAGCACAGAAGCCATCCTCACACAAGAAAAGTACCGTTAGCAAGTGTAAAATTCCAGTTGTTTTCCTGCTCGTGTTAAGAACGGTGTTATTTGAGTAGTAATAAAATTATAATTGATGTCTGTTCTTCCCTGTCTGTTTCTCTGTAGATGGGAGGCACCATGTACAACACGGGGAAGCATGTGTCCCTGCGGCCAGACAAAGCCCACCTGGTGAACATCTCCGGGGGCCCGCTGGGTTACAGCTACAGGCTGGAGGAGGTCCGCCTCCATTTTGGGAGCGAGGACTCCCAGGGTTCAGAGCACCTCCTCAACGGACAGGGCTTTCCTGGAGAGGTAGGAGACAAGACAAAGATAACTGGATTGAAAACACGATATTGTGTAGGACACAACACATGTGTACACTGATACACACACACACACACACACACACACACACAAAATGTATATGAACATATCTACATAAGCAACAGAGCACTGAATACTAACATGCTGATTAGATAATTGCTGATAGCAGAGACACTGGCACGCTTATTATGATTAATGACTACATGATTGTTATCTCACGTAAACACACACATGCAACTGTGCATAAAACCAAAAACTGCACACACAACACAGACACAGGTTAAGTTATTTTGAAACAGTTTTCATTTGTGAGCAATCTTGTTCTCTAAGCTCATCTCAAAGCTGTCTTATCCACATTGAAATTAATTCAAACCAGTTTATCAAAATTGGAAAAGCAAGTGTTTTTGTGTCTTTGTGCAGATTCCCTGGGCTTCTCTGTCTTTACCTAGTCTGTGATCACAATATTGCAGTATTGTTCTGTAAATCCACTCTGTCCAGAGAGACACGGAGAGATGTTAAAAAGGAGGCTGTTCACTTTTTAGAAGCTTCTCCGTCTTGTTATGCAGATTGGGTTTGTGGATTAAATCTGTCAGAGATGTCCTGGAGGAAGAAGTGATCCCAGTCAGAATTCACTAGACCTTTTCCAGCCAACGGACTGTAACTAAAGGATGAGGCGAATTTGATGAAGTCTATTAATAAACAGAATCTAGAAAACAGTCCAGCTGGGCTGAACACTCTGGGTATACCGTTCCAGAAAACAGTGGCGTTGTCTCCATGAATCAGTGGGGAACTGACCCAGACCTGACGTGCATACATTAATTTTCCAAAAAGATATCTGAACAACAGGGACTCGTGCACAACCAGAGCCCAAATAGAATTAGACCTAACTGGGATTTTTTTTTTTTACACATTTCCAAACCATAATTCAAACTGTAAAGTAATGCTTTGTGTCTCTCTTTCAGGTCCAGCTGATCCATTATAACCAGGATCTGTACGCCAACTACACTGAGGCAGCTAAGAGCCCCCATGGCATCGCTGTGGTCTCCATCTTCATTAAGGTCAGCATGTCCTTTTGGGAAACACAGTGAAGAACCAATCGGAAGGTTTGATGAACTCACTCATAACATGCACAACTTCTCAGCTGCAAGGACAAGTACAGGAAAATAACTTCTCTGTTTCAGTCCTTAGGCCACTACACGTGTTTTACTGCGTGTGTGCGTATGTGTGCTGTACTGTGCTTTGTGATGAATATTTGATCCCCCTCTGTCTTTGTCATCCCTCAGCTCTCTGAAAACTCCAATGCCTTCCTCAACCGCATGCTCAATAGAGACACCATCACCAGAATCAACTACAGACGTAAGACACACAGACTCTCTCTCTCTTTCTCACAATCATACACACGCATCATACACACGCACTGCATTCACCTGTGTTTTCTCCCTAGACAAGCAAATTCTACTTCAAGCATCTACAGGCCTGCATCTTGTTCTGCTGTAAATAACTTATTACACTTCCCCATAATATGCTGATTATAGAAAACTCTTTGGTCTGACCAGCATCCTTTCTTCTCCGTCCAAAAAGCCCTTGGTGTCAGACTGGGTCCTCATTGGCTGTCACACATCTCTATATACAATAAATTCTCATTACTGTTTTTTCTTTCATCTCTGTGCACTGTACACGTCTATATTCTTCCTTAAGCGCTCTCTGAATGATTTGAAATCTGTTGCACTTCATGATGAATCACAAATTTCATCATTGTCCTCCATCAAAGGAGGTTATGTTTTCAGTCCCAAATGTTTGTGTGTCTGCAGGGTATCTCAAAACCGTGTTGACATATTTGAATTTTAGCAAAGTGGTGGAAAGTTAGACCGTGACTTGTTATGGCTTATGACTTGGTACCGCAATTTAGAAAAGACAGCCTGTGATCAATCCTCTTTCACGGTTAAAGTAGTGGGGAAGTGGAATTCCGTACCCACAAACATTGGAAATCAGGAGTTTTGCAGTGTTTAAAGCCAGCTTAGAGCTTTGGCTAAAGTCAGCATAACTGTGTCACCACCAATGTTTGGATTGTATTTCTTGGATGTATTATACTGATTTGATCATCTTAGGCCTAGTCCACACGTACACGGGCATTTTTATACATGTCTACATGAAAACGCAAAAACATTCTGTCAAGCGCTGTTAAGAGCATGCCAAACCAACAGGCGATGATATAACCCTAACCGTAAAGCCATGTTGGCCAATCGGAGCCTAATATAATCGTAAATAAAGCAGGCAGTTGCGCGCACTCTGACGTCGCAAGGCAAAAACTCAGGACAACACTGCAACTGGAGTTTCCTAAAATCTTCACCCTGGCAGGAGTTTTCAAAAAGGTCCGGTTTCAGTGACCTGATCCTGCGTTTCTGTGTGGACGAACGGCCAAGCCATGTAGTAGAAGTTACGGTTTTGAAAATACCCGGGGACGTGTGGACAGGGCCTTACACTGATGGACATACTGTGATGTTGTACTATTGTATGTAGTCTACTTGTTGGTTTGTGGTTGTTGTGATTGTTTTTATTGTTTTGTCTACCTGACCATGGACAACAGATGCATATTAGCTGCTAGCTAACTCTGGTGCACTTCCTTTTAATTGTGCACTGTCCCAACAAAAATAAACAGTAAATGAAAAATTATCAGGTGAGTCAGTTTTAGAGGGGATGTGATGCAGGCTTGGATACGTGACTTTCTTTAAATATCTCTTTATAGATTCTTACAGTTTAACAATTTAAGTAAAGTTTCTTTGTATAATGTAACCTAATATGAACCACAAGGCCCTTTTTTAACCATGCATAATTGGTAGGCCACTCGATCTGTGTGGAAGTCTCCATCTGCTATTTTGGTTCATGTAGGTGCAGTAATGCAAGGGACACATCACTGGTCTCACAGCTCTGACGCAGCTGAGCCAATCAGAGTGGAGCATGGCAGCAACATCTCAACAACTAGACGGGGCTTCACCAGGAAATCATGTTGTTGTTGTTGTCTGGAGAGTGCAGAGCGGCACGACGTGAACACACGGCGCCACAAATCAGTTAATTAGTGCAATGATGGCAGAAATAAATGAAATACATTACGAAGATATGATGTAACCATTTACAACATGAAATACAGTAGAATAGTAGAATTATAACTAAAACAGCGTCTAAAACATTATTTTAAGAATAAAACATGAGGCGCTGATTTAAAGTTGGAAAGAAGACTGTGGATAAATTAACAGGATTAATGAGCCCCAGTAATCTGGTGTCTCTTGCATAAACAGCAGAATACAGAGTTATAACAGACCAGCCTGGTGTCTGTGTGTGTGGTTACTTTGTTGCAGGGTGGTGTCATTTTCACGTGATTTAAAGAAGTAAACATAGCACGCTGACACGGCAGATTATCGACACAACTGCAGCTAAAGCCAATTTCAAGTCGTTGCACCGCCACAAAAATAGGGCCCTTAGGGTCTACAGCCATGCTAGCAGCTCTGTGAGGTTGCACAGCGGTGCTTTTAGCTAAATGCTAACATCAGCATGCTCACAATGACAATGCTAACATGCTGATCTTTGTTTAGCATGTTGACATTTGATAATTAGCACTAAACACAACGTTTAGCTGAGGCTGATGGGAATGTCATCATAAACCAAAGTATTGGACAATTTGAAATTTTGGCCAGATGATGGCACTAGATGAAAGGTCAGGGGATCCCCAAAGGTAAAACAATTCATCATGGATGTCTCTACAAAATGTCATGGCAATGCATCTAAAATAGTTTTGTTCTGAATAATTTCAGTCTGAGGTGGACCGACTGAATGACTGACAGACCGACACTGCCATCTCTAGAGCCACACCGCTAGTATTGCTAAAAACGTTTGAGGTCTTAAACTTAACACACTAATTTCTTCTTTCTCTTGTGGACAGTTCATTCTCGATAATGGGAGATCTGTGGTAGCTGTGCTCTACATACTACAACACTACACATCACCCCTCACACACATATACACACATATACACACACATATACACACACACCAGTGGTTTCCTTCAGCAAGAATGCATTCTTAATTTGATAATAAATAAAAAAAATCAGTGCAAGATCTGTTTTCCAACCTCTGTTGCAAAGATGTACGGCCCTCTGGAGAATTCCTTCCTGTTAATGGGGCTAAACATAGCAGAAGCACAACGACACACACACACACACACACAGAAACTTGTTTTTGTCACTTAGGAGGATATTGCGTTGACTTATAAATTCTCTGGAGACGCACACTAACCTAAACCAAGAAGCAAGCCCTAACCTTAAAACTGAACGGTTTAGCCGGTGGGAACTAGCAGTTTTTCCGTAAATGGGAGGTGAGGCCCTGTTAAGTGACTGCGGGAACAGAGTTTTGGCCCTAATTAATACAAGAGCACACACTCTCTCTGTGCTCCAACATGTTTATGTTTTTTTCTCAGGCAAATCTTTCCTTTTAATTGGTCCAAACATTATAGATTCATAACCTGATGAAGTGTTTTACATAAACCACACACACACACACACACACACACACACACACACACACACACACACACACACACACACACACGCACGCACGCAGTAGTATTCGTCTCTCTTTTCCTTTGACAGTGTGTTCCTGTTAATGGGTCTGAACATAACGCACTTTCACACAACACACTGCATCGCCTTAACACTCTCTCTCACTCTCTCCTTCTCGCCTTCTATTTCTTCTTCTCTCTAGATGATGCTTTCTTGTTGATGGGGCTGAACATAGCAGACCTTTACCCTGACACTACACGTTACATCACCTATGAGGGCTCCATCACCATCCCTCCCTGCTATGAGACGTCCACGTGGATACTAATCAACAAGCCTGTCTACGTGACACAGATGCAGGTACATGAGTGGAGAATAAGTAAAAGTGATATGGGGACAACAACACACATTCTGTTGATTGGGACAGAAATGTAATAACCTATACCCTCTCCTGCACAGGGTGCAAACAGCTTTGAATTGCAAATTAGGCCTTCATAACCTGTAACAGAAAGCATCTACCTTTCCCAAAGAGGTTTAGAGAAAAGTGGCTGTAACGGTAATGTAATGAAATGCAGTGAATACAGAGCACACAGAACCATCCAGATGTTAAATTGCATCCTCTTTTTTCTGTCAGACAGTCTCAAGATAAAAAAACACACAGTTCAATTTCTTCATCTGTATCTTTTAAACCGTAAGAACGGGGTCGATTTAGTGGGTGACTGAGTAAAAAAACATCATCATCTGCAAGCAGTCACAGTGACACAACTGGTAATCTACACTTCATGCCGTTGCTGGGTTCCGACCAGAGAGCCTTTTTTTTTCACTGAAGAGCAGCTGGATAGATCAGATTCACACCCCAGCTCTTCAAATCAAGCAGCTCAATGTCAGAGTGCAACACATTACGGCGTAGCTCCGCACTCACCTGCATGCATCAATGTAATCAATTCCCACAAACCATCTGCTGTGTACTCTCACTTTATTTACTCCCGCTCTCAATCCTTTGTTCTCACTTATCTGTCAACCAACTGGGATCTCTCTTTCTTCTTCCTTCCATTTTCTTGCGTTGTCTTTCATCCCTCTTTTACTAGTCTGTTTTGTTCCGGGGTTTTTTTTATATTATAATTTTTGCTTCTCCATCTTACTTTCTTGGCCTTTTACCCTTTCTCCCGTTCCCTGTACATAACTTCATCCCTCTTTTATTCTTCCTTCTACACCAACCCATTCTCACCGCTGACTCGTCACATATGGACGCATGGTCAAGACCCATCGGCGTCAGTTTGTGACGCACTGGGGAGCCCTGTAGCATCAGTTTTAGACGGTAAAGGCAGGTATGTGATATTTAACAGAAAAGACTGAGTAAGGAGGTGGTTGTGGTGGATGGAGGGCCAGAATTCTGACTGAATCAGGAGAGCGGTGTTGGTGTCGTGTGTAAAACAAAAAGTCAATATTTAAATATTTTTATTTAAGTTAGGCGAGTTATGTAAATTGCATAAGTTACGCAAGTGACGTAAGTTAGCTTATGTGTTAACTGACCTACGTAGTTATTTTAACCCAAACCATGATCTTTTCCTAACCTAAGCAAGTACTTTTTGTGCCTAAACCTAACCAAACTGCAACGTTTCACGCTAGCGTTTTATTTTGAAAGTATAACCGGACCTTGCATATATTTTGTTGCTAATTTTACCGGACATTGTATCTTTGTTGTTGCTAAGCGTTGTTAACTTAACCGTGGAGCCATAGACGTCTAAAAATTACGCTAAAGGGGTACCCAGGGCGTTTAAAAAGCAACGACAAAGGGCCTTGACCAAGCGTCCATATGTGACGAGTCGGGAGTCGTTGTTGTCTACACCGACTTAAGTGATATATACAGCTTTCATTTGTTAAAAGGGGAACTCCACCAATTGTTCAAGCATGTTTACAGGTCTTGTGAAGTCTGACAAATTGCCACAAGTGATGAAACCTGAGTCAGCGTCGGGTTTTGACAAGCAAAACAAAAGAAAACGTCGGTAGCGCTGGTTCTTCTGCATCGATTTTAGTAGATTTTGTAACTGTGAGAGTGCAATGCTAAATCTGTGGAGTAATCTTTTAACCCTTAGATGCTAGTTTAAAAAAAGACATGTCGGAATCAGTAGTATTTTGTTAATACTAATTATATGCTCTCATCATCTTTTGGCAAAAATCAAACAAGAAACATTTGCATTTCAGACTTCCTGTGTACGTGGTCATTGCACACTGGTAGCCTATATTGCATTTTACACAATAGTTTACTTAATATTCAACATTAACTTGGGCAGATGAGACATTCTTTTCACTTGGCCCTGTATTCTTTACTCCTGTGGCAACACCACACCTCCTTGTTGCTTCAGTGATCTGGGTTGACAGTCAGCTTTCTCAGATGTGGTCTGCTGTGATCATTAAGTGATACCAGCTCGGAACATCACAGAGCTGTCTTTCTCAGAAACATTCTTCCCATCCAATCAAAATGTGGCAGAAGCAACTCTGACAGAGCCAGCTAACATTAGCTAACAACCTGCTTACCTATTTGAAGGTGGCCTTCTGGGTAAACGTGTAGTCTGGCGGGTTTGTTAGGGGAAAGTAAATCTCTCCTGTGTGTGTGTGTGTGTGTGTAGAAGTACCAGCATGTGCCACAGCCGTAGTAAAATTAAGCTACAGTAGTCAACAGAAAGTGGTTCAGAAAAGCTTAAGTTTCCAGTAGAGTAATTGTTAAAAGGGCCGTTAAGTGTGTTCCCTTTTTTAAGCAACTTTACAACATCTCACAACCCTTCTACATAGCAGAATTGCCTGGACTCTAATAGCTAGTTACCAACTATGAGCCACACTAAAGCAAACTGAATTTGCCTACAAAACCTAAAGGTCTCCCAGCTATTGTTTGGAGCTGCAAAGCTGGCAGCATAACTGTAGGTGTAGATGTTAGTTTCAGTCCCTGTGTACTGTTGATTCAGAATTACTTTGACACTGTTGTTACTCTAGCTAACAGGCACTGTTTGTGATTTGTATGGACAGCATCTCAAGCAGCTGAATGTAAAGTAGCTGCAATCAGAGTAGGCAACTCAGAGTCTCAAGCCATGGTACTCTGCATGACAACGGTGCACCCCCTTCAGGTTGGGAATGAGTTGTTGCCCCAAGTCAAGGGGTATGCCTATGGTATGGCTCACAGGTGAGGGTAAGAGTGAGATCCACAGGCCGATCGGTTTAACATCTGCTGAAATGTTGGCGTTGTGTAGGGAATACATGAGTAAAGGTTTAAAGCTAGGGTAGGCAATGTTGGAGAACCAGCAAGAGACAGCAAGATTTTGAAAGTATCCAACAATCCATGGTTGTTCATCCACAGTGTGTGCATGGGCAGAGTGGGTTAGGTAGATGATTGGCTGTGCTTTTTACAGTCCTGTGACAATCACAGATAACGGATTTCTTTTCATTTTGTTAGAGGATCCAAATTTTTGATTGCTGTCGGGATCTAAAGTAAATTTTCACAAATACAACAAAAAATGCTTCTGAAATAAATTGCCTACCCCAGCTTTAATAGCAAATGCTAACGGAAGTTTCAACATGTTAGCATAACTAGCTTTCAGCCCCATTCACACCAGCCTCTGTGGAAGCTTGGTCTGGATTTTCTGAAATTTTTAGGCTAACGTTAGCAGCTCTCCCTCGCTCCTTATTGGATTTGGGGAAGTTTAGACTCCAGCAACCACAGCCAAACGCCAAGGATAGCATACAGGTAGCCAAAAACATTTTCTCTTGTAACTTTAAAATACCATAATATCAGCATATGTCTAACCTCTGTTTTGCTGAGCTAAATAGGCTGTCAGAATTGGCCGAGTGACAGACAGATTTAGGACCCAAATGCAAGACACTGGAGAGTGCTAGTACAGTTTGTCAGGTTTATTGCAAGTAAAGGCAAAAACTCACTCTTACAGGCAGAAGTGGCAGGCAAGTCAAAGTCAAAACTAAGGCAGTTGCCTCTTGACCTAAAAGAACTGAGCTGAATCAAATTGTTTATGTCAATGTGAATTCAACCGCACAAGCTTAACTCAAATAAATTCTAACAATCTCAGCCTCCACCCATTCTTCTTTCCACCCCACTTGTCCTCCACCAGATGCACTCCCTGCGCCTTCTCAGCCAGAACGAGCCCTACAAGATCTTCATGAGTATGAGCGACAACACCCGGCCCACCCAGCCACTGCTGCAGCGCTGCATCCGAACCAATATCAACTTCAGCAAGCAGGGCCGCGACTGCCCCAACAACCGTGCCCTCCGCCCACAGTACAGAGGTAATATGGAGGAGGAGAGGGGGAGCCAGAGGGAGAGTAGTGGGGGGTAGCAGTGTTGTTTATGCATGAATAAATAAAATATTATATTCTGCCAGCAATGAATGCCAAGTATGATTTTGCTTCTTTTTTTTTTTCTTTTCTACGCTGTCTGTCCCTTTAAAGCTAATTAGAGCAGTTTTTACATGCTTGTGCCAAGACTGGATATATTTTTAAGTCAGTTTTGCCAAACCTCTCAGGCTCATGGACCCCATCCACTTCCTTATAAACAACCAGGAACATTTTCATAAACCCAGTGGAGTTAATGAATCACAGTTATGTCATGTTTAGCAAATGTTTTCTTCTATCTCATTTACGTTTTGAAAGTTACACTCAAGAAAACCATTAACAGCGTGTTAATGGCTCCTCAGCAAGCAGCTGCATTAGGAGGGGTGTGTTGCTTCAGGTACCACTAAGACAATGAAATGCTCTGCTGACACAGATTGAAGCAACATATTTTTTTAATTAGACAAATGTTCAAAATTTACAAAAGAAATGTTGCAAATTTGGTGAAAGCAGCGCAGGGATGGCCAGTTTGAATAATAGATCCATGAAATCTGCACAGCAGTTTATAGTATGTTAGTACTGGATATTACAACTTGGGACAATTAAAAGTTTAGGTTTATTATTCAATGTGAATATGTTTGAACCATATGGAATGTGCCCATTCAATCATTTTAATTTCACAAAGCCACCCATTTCGGCGATCTAGTTCTTTCAGTCATGACCCAGCCTTCATGACCATGGGTGAGAGTAGGAGCAAAAATTGACCGGTAGGTCAAGATCTTTGCCTTCCAGCTCAGCTTTTTTTTTTGTCACAGCTGTGCGGTAGAGCAAATTCAGTACCGCCTCCGCTGCTCCGATCCTCCGACCAATCTCCGGCTTCATTGTCCCTTTACTCACTCACAAGTTACTTGAACTCCCTCAGTGTGCACTTTATTTGTTTTTCCCGCTGAGAACTACAACCTCAGACTTCGAGGTGCTAATCCCCATCCCAGTTGCTTCACACCATACTCCCCAGCACCTGCCACAATATCCCCAGATCCACAAAAACACATGCCGACCGGTTGGGCAAACTCCTAGCATACCTCCAGGAATCTTGCGAAAGTGAAGAGCTGGTCCGTTGTTCCACAACCAGGACGCAATCCGAATTGTTCCTCTTCAATCCGAGGTTCACATATCAGCTGAAACCCTCCTCTCCAGCACCTTGGAGTAGACTTTACCAGTGAGGCTGAGAAGTTTGATACCCCTGTAAATGGCACGCACTCTCTGGTCCCCCTTTTTGAACAGTGGAACCACCTCCCCGGTTTGCCACTCCTTGGGCACTGTACCTGACTTCCACGCAATGTCAGGTTTAAAAACCCACTTGTGTGTAAATTCTTTGTAACTACAAGTATACAATTAAAAAAATAAGAAAGTATGTAAAACTGAGCAAATGCAGGAAATGAGCAGAAACCTCAATCGTTAAACTTTACATTTCATGTCGCTACTCACTGCCATCAGAACACAAGAGGGCCATTGCTTAATTTTCAAAATGAAATCAGTCCCTTTAAATGTGATAATTGTGGACAAGATAAATTAAATATAATTATTATTATAAATAAATATTTATGTGTAATCCTGAATTTGAAATAGGTTTCGGTCAGTAGTGAGCGACTGGTAGAAGTACAGAGATCCAGCTGATCATTAAAGCTCCCTGGAGCAGGGAAGGAAGGTTGACTGAGCATGGCTCTATGTCAGCAGTGTCTTGACAATGGGAAAATAGAGAATGAAACAGAGAGGGAGATCTGCTGTGAGCACAAGAAGGGTGAGACACATATGAAAATAAAAAGATGCTTATGTGTGGGAGTGTATTGTCTCTTTGTACAGGTTTAAATCTGGGAGTGTGTAGGTGAGCTGGTTGGCGTTAAAGAAAGTTGGTACATCACACACACACACACACACACCAAACGTGGAAGCATTACGCAGAGTGTGTGGGAGTCGTCATATCCTCTCAGTGCTCTGTGCTCTCCAAATATCTTTGTTATCGATCCGGCCGAGCTCAGCGTGCTCTCCACAACATCAAATGGATTCCGCAGCCTCTGCTTCCCTTTGATAATGGCTTGTTACAATACAGAGCCCCAACAGGAGTTTCTGTATTCACGGTCAAAGAGCAGAGAGAACACAGTTTCGTAGAGATGTCTGAGCCAACACTATTAGACTTTATGAAACAAAAGACAAAGAGCAGAAAATGTAGACAGACAGATAGAGAACAAACACAGGCTGTACAGTCCTGCAGGACACTTGCAGCAATAACATGTGGAACTAATTAAAGGTTAGCTGAACAAGACTTTGATGTAAAAATAGTTAAGATAAGATATAACTTTATTAATCCCCCGTAGGGGAAATTTCGGTTGATATAGCAGCACAAAGGAACATAAAAGAACTGATGCAGTATTGTAGAAGTATTAACACACTATTTACACTATACAATCAATAATAAGTATTTACAACCAGATAAATGTTTGAAATTAAATTAAGTCAGGAATAGTCTCTCAGTTCGGTGCTGTGGTGTTGTGGAACCTGATGGCTGCGGCACAAATTAGCCTACAAAGGTGCTTAAAGGCTCGGGGCTGGATGAGTCTGTGGCTGAAGGAGCTCCTGAGCTGCCTCAGCTCAGCGCTGAGAGGATGAGAGGGGTTGTCCATGATGGTTTTCAGCTTCCCTCTCATCCTCCTCTCAGTCACTACCTCCACACTGTCCAGCTCCATCCCCACCACAGAGCTGGCTTTCCTCACCAGCTTGCCCAGTTTGATGGCGCCACAATTCCCGATGCCACCTCCCCAGCACACCACAGTGAAGAAGATGACACTGGCTACTACAGACTGAAAGAACATCCATGGCAGCCTGGTGCACATATTAAAGGACCTGAGCCTCCTCAGAAAGAACAGCCTGTCCTGTCCTTTCCTGTAGAGGGCCCTGGTGCTGTCTGTTCAGTCCAGTCTATTGTTGAGGTGCACCCCCAGAAACTCGTAGGTGTCCACCATCTCTACTCCCTCACTGCTTATTACAACAGGGGTGTGGAGCCTCTTGCTGCATCTGAAGTCCACCACCAGCTCCTTGGTTTTTCCTGTGTTGAGCTGGAGGTGGTTGCTAAAGTAAATGTGTTAGATTGGGGAGAGGACATAATATTAGGCAACATGACTGTATCTCTGATGTTAGCCACTGATCATTAGCAAATGTAGATAATAGCTCAGTACTTACAGACATAGAAACATATTCCAAAACAATTGGACCTATCATAGAGCTACAGCTGGGCTAATGGCAGTTGTACTTGCATGGAGTTGCACATTTCGTCTTGGTCACAAATGTAACATTACAAAGACTGTTTAGCACTCAGTTGTTCTACATTATGCCTAGGGTTAATTGGGACCTTCTGTATTGTAAACACTGCAGACACAAAAAAAATAACTAAATAACTAAACATAGCTCTGAGCTGTATTGGCAGTTCAGTTGCTAGCCCTCACGTGCAGGCAAAGCAGGCGAACATTACTGCATTCTCACTGGAAGTGATGACGGCAGGTGATGAAACACCAGCCCAGAGAGCTGAGATAACTCTGAAATAAAACGGTGACTGATCTAGAGCCAAAATTGGGAAGCACCCAGGTACAGAGAAGTGAAGTGAGAGAAGGAGAGAAGGTGCACGGAGACAGCAGAGAGACACTCGCTGCCAATGAGAGGATCCCTGGTGGGAAATAAACAAATGGATTCCTCTATTGGCTAGAGTTATTTTCAATATCTCTCTTGCTCCTTCACAGACTTATTCACTCTGAATTTCTCCTCTTTCTCATTCAGTTTATTCTTCTCTTACTCACTGCCATTGATTTCCACTCTGTACCTCCAGTCCCTCTAGTTGTGTCTTGTTTTCTCTATTAGTTAAATTGTTTGCAGCAGGGTCTTTGACACACAACGAATCCCTCATCTGTTGCTCTTCTTCAGGTTTCTTCTGTTTTTTCCATATCTGAGTCAGGGTCTGATGTCAGAGCGTGCCGTATGCTGTACAGATTCCAAAAGGCCCTTCAGGGGAATAAAACGGACTTGACTTAACTTACAGACATCTAACAGCATCTTTGGAAAGCAGCTGCCAACATCAAACTTGAAAAGAGAAATTCCAATTCCTGGACCATCTCCATACAACTTTAATTCTATACAGCGTGTACTACATACTAATCCTCAGTGTTCCATTTTAGGTGTTAGTAGACGAAACAATTACACAGTTTACACAACTGCCAATTAAATTTCATGAAGAGAAAGGAACAGTTTTTAATGCGTTGCATTTTGGGAATATAGTGTCAATCAGCACACTCAAAAATGGATGGTGTGTAGCCTGTACATAATTTCATAATCATCACTTTCCTACTGTGAACGCACTGCATACTCATAACCTGCTTAGAGTTAGTAAAGAGTATGGAAGTGGGACACCATTTTAGTCTTTTTTCTCCTTTACCTTTGTCTCTCATTATCCTTTCTCATGCACACATTCTGTTTCTCACTTTGTCTGTCTCTTCACCACTTTTGAAACCTGAGGCACCCCTTTGTTCTGTTTTATTCCACACCGCTTATTCTTTCTATACTAATTATTCCCTCTTCTCTTCTCTTCCTCAGTGAATCAGTGGCTCCTGAAGTAGAAGATAAAAAGATGTTAAGCAGCAGCGCCCCGAGAGGAGAGGCAGGATTCATTCAAGTCTATTTCACACTGCCAAATCCAGCTGAAGAATCCAGTGACCGCCTGAGCCTGCCGATTGATCTGAACTGAATGGACATCTTAACTAAACTGATCTCAGCTAAACTTGACTGAACAAACTCCAAACACTCTGCTGTGTTGGCCTTCTACATATCTACAATTTAATCCCAACACATGGGCCAGCACAGCAAGGGTACAGACCTGACTTTGAGTCCAAAGTGTGAAATAGATCATAAGGACTCTGATGTCTACACTGTACTGTGGGTTTATTCGTTGTATTAACTAACAAAGACTGGAGATATAAAGACTCTGATGTTATCTAAAGACGACGGCTGTGATCGTCGCTGGTCCACATTCATATTCTGGCTACAGAAGGCGGTTATGAAAATGATCATCCACTGACTGGAGGAATTCTTACATTTCCATTGATGGTCTGAACCCCCGGCAACAAAGAAACACTCAGCTGTGGTATGATGAGAGATGTAAAAATCTGCTGCTTCTGCTATCAAATAGTAACTAAAGAAGGTAATTTACAAAGAGAATGTGAAATGTGTGAATTAGGTTACATAGCTGAAGGGGGAGAAACAGAAGGAGGGACTGCAACTCTGACATTTTACAGACCTGAACAGATGGAGTCACTGGAGACTGGAAAGGGATAGGTCACTCATTTTGCATGATTTTACAGTAGTCCACTTGTCTTTAAGGTATCCTATTAGAAGGTGGTGACAGAATTCAGCTTGCATCAGGTCCCTGCTTTGCACAGCGACATAAAGTGCAACCACAACAGCTAACACTCACTAAAATGTTCAGTCAAAATTGTTTAAAGGACTAATTCTACAAAGCCAGCCCCCCATCCCCAGCAGTGATTGTCCAAACATAGCTTAGTAACCACAACTAGGCACAGCAGGCCTGCAAAGCCTTCCTAAAATTATTTTGATGATTAAAACTTCTGTTGAAAGACAATTGTTGATCCTGTAAAGTCATGAATTAGAATTGTGCTCAAAGCAACCATGCAATTTCAAAATGTAAAAAATCAGCGTGTCTGAAGTATTACAGATGCCCTGTGGAGTTTTCTTGTAAACGAAGGTTATCTATACATTCAGTGTTTTTGACCCTTGATGTCTACTAAACGTGTTGAGTGCCGATTTTTTAAAATATTTTAAAACCTGCATTGTTTACATCCATGCTTGCTTGTTCTTCACTGCCTTTCCTGGCAGATTGCTGTGTTTCATGGTGCATCCACTGGCAGAAATGTGTAGCGCTTCATGCGCTTGCTCATCCTCGGGGACACACTCATAGAAGAAATACTCATAGTGCTATTAGTGGTCACAAACTCCACAGGGTACCTGTCACTAACAGCAGCTGTTCACAGTATAGGTCTTCACAGGTCCGTGCGCCACGGGATAAGAGCTGATGGAGAGTCTGTTTGGATTCATTCAGGTATGAGACACAGAGTCCCTGAATGTAATCTGAACCTGGGCTGACTTGGGTTTCTAGTGAGGTCTCAGTTACTTAGAAATGAGTGGACCAGTGAAGACCTCCAGTACACAGTGAACCTGTGGAATTTCAAAGTGACACTTGTGTAAAATGGGTGACCTACAGTATATGTATCTTATGGATGGACATCGTGGATCAACACCAACGCAACACTGGTCATTAGCTTGTTTTTTGTTTGTTTGCTGTGATGTAGTATCTCATGAAGGGAACAAATGCTGGGTCTTTCTCTTTGTTTGATTTTCAAAATGTAACTAATAAATAGATGGAACTGTAATGAGGGTGATCGTATGTTGCCTGTAGTAAGACGCATGATACACTTTGAGTGGTACTGTAGATAGAGTTTCGATTACCTGGATGTCCTTGGAAATTCATACCTTTTTGGTCAAAAATTAATGCTCTGTCATTGTATGCTGAAAATTTTGGACAAGAAGTGGCAACAACTCAAGAAATCTCATCAAAAAAGAATATAACTGCGAATACTTTGGTAAAACTAGTGACAGCTACATTTTAAAATGTATTTGGTAATGTTGAAATTGTAGCTTTTATATAATCTCTGCAGGTCTGTCTTCTGTCACACCACATCTGTGGAGTATCTTTGTAAATATACCTGTAGTAAACAGCTAAGGATGTGGCAAATGGAAGCTAAACTGGATCATGAGCATTAGCAATGATAGCCTTTAGAGTTAAACAGAAAATGTAAGCAAGAAGTGAACTTTCACATGAATAATTAGCCTACCAACACCTGGCTAGCGTTGCAATATGAAGTACTTACTAATCTGGTTATTTAATTGGCGTCAAATGAGGTTTAACATTTACACAGTTTCTCTTGGCTGGTCCTCAGTATTAAAGACACATTAGGCATGGAATGTGCTAATGCCAAGTTCAACAGCTTAACTTGCAAAATAAATAGTAAAGTAACATAAAAATGATAAAACTTACAGGTTCCAAATTTGAAGTTTGATCGATCCTTCCTTGAGCTTCAGTTTTTTTTTTTCAGAGCAAATCCTGGAATCTACTGGTGTTTTCCAGTTATTGTGGGGACATTTCCATCAAAATAAAGTTAATCCTCTGTATTCATTTCATTTCCTTGGATGGTGGGAGTAGATGAAGACTTTTGTGTTGGTTCTTGCATACAAACAACAGAGAAATTGCTGTTCTTCTTTGCTTGCTTCTACATCTTTGTGTTACCAGGGTCTTTTCAATTCAATTCAATTCAATTTTATTTATATAGCGCCAAATCACAACAACAGTTATCTCACAGCGCTTTTCATAAAAGAGCAGGTCTAGACCGTACTCTGTGATGCTATTTACAGAAGCCCAACAGTTCCCACCAAGAGCAAGCACTAGGCGACAGAGGCAAGGAAAAACTTCCTTTTAAGAGGCAGAAACCTCGAGCAGAACCATGGCTCAGGGTGGGCGGCCATCTGCCTCGACCGGTTGGGGTGAGAGAGAGAGAGAGAGAGAGAGAGAGAGAAAGAGAGTGAAAGAGAGAGAGAGAGAGAAGAGAGAGAGAGAGAGAGAGAGAGGGATGTAAGGAGAGAGAGAGGGGAGGGAGGCAGCCTACACAATATACACACAGAGGTACAGACAGCGAAGGTAATGTTGCTATAAACTAAATGAAAAATGGTACAGATATTTATAATAGTGTTAATGGTAACCATCGTAATGTTAATGATTATAATAACAATAAGACTAGCAACAATAGTCGTTGCAGTAGAGGGTGTCGAGCAGGAACACGGGGGCAGCAGGCGACCCGCAGCCACAGATCCAGACTCCACAGCTCCAGAGCCAGAAAACCTGCAGGAAGTGATAGGAGGAGAGAGGAGAGGGACGAGAAAGCACAAGACTACCAGAAAGGGGAGAAGTTGTGTTAGTAACATGCAATAATGGGATAAGGTTGCATACAGAGGGAGAGAAAGTAGAGGAGAGAGGAGCTCAGTGCATCATGGGAAATCCCCCGGCAGTCTAGGCCTATAGCAGCATAACTAAGGGATGGTTCAGGACTACCTGAGCCAGCCCTAACTATAAGCTTTATCAAAGAGGAAAGTCTTAAGCCTACTCTTAAATGTGGAGATGGTGTCTGCCTCCTGAACCCAAACTGGAACCTGGTTCCACAGTAGAGGAGCTTGATAGCAGAACGCTCTGGCTCCTAGTCTACTTTTGGAGACTCTAGGAACCACAAGTAACCCTGCATTCTGGGAGCGCAGTGCTCTGGTGGGGTAGTAAGGTACTATGAGCTCTTTAAGATAAGATGGTGATTGACCATTAAGAGCTTTGTAGGTAAGAAGCATGATTTTAAATTCTATTCTGGATTTTACTGGAAGCCAATGCAAAGAAGCTAAAACAGGAGAAATGTGATCTCTTTTCCTGGTTCCTGTCAGAACACGTGCTGCAGCATTCTGGATCAGCTGAAGAGTCTTAATGGACTTTTTCGAGCAGCCTGATAATAAGGAATTGCAGTAATCCAGCCTAGAAGTAACAAATGCATGGACTAGTTTTTCTGCATCATTTTTAGACAGGATGTTCCTGATTTTCGCAATATTACGTAGGTGAAAAAAGGCGGTCCTTGAAATTTGCTTAATGTGGGACTTAAACGACATGTCCTGATCAAAGATAACTCCAAGATTCCTCACAGTGGTGCTGGAGGCCAAGGCGATGCCATCCAGGGAAACTATATCTTTAGATAATGCGTCACGGAGGTGCTTAGGCCCCAGAACAATAACTTCAGTTTTATCTGAGTTTAACATAAGAAAATTACAGCTCATCCAGGTTTTAACATCCTGAAGGCACATTTGAAGTTTAGCTAACTGATGAGTTTCATCTGGCTTGATCGATAGATATAACTGAGTATCATCTGCATAACAATGAAAGCATATGGAATGTTTCCTGATAATATTGCCTAAAGGAAGCATATATAAAGTGAAGAGGATTGGTCCAAGGACAGATCCTTGAGGAACTCCATGAGTAACTTTGGCGTGCATGGAGGACTCATCGTTAACATGTACAAACTGAAATCGATCTGATAAATAGGACTTAAACCAGCTTAGAGCGGTTCCTTTAATGCCAATGAAATATTCCAGTCTCTGCAATAGGATCTGATGGTCAATGGTATCAAATGCAGCACTAAGATCTAATAAAACCAGTACAGAGACAAGTCCTTTGTCTGATGCAATAAGGAGGTCATTAGTAATTTTCACCAGTGCTGTCTCTGTGCTATGATGAGCTCTAAATCCTGACTGAAAATCCTCAAATAAACTATTGCTCTGTAGAAAGTCACACAGCTGTTTAGCAACTGCTTTCTCCAGAACCTTAGAGAGAAATGGAAGGTTAGATATAGGTCTATAGTTTGATAAAACATCCGGATCAAGTTTGGGCTTTTTCAGAAGAGGTTTAATTACAGCTACTTTAAAGTACTGTGGTACATAGCCTGTTGATAAAGATAGATTGATCATATCTAGTATAGAGGTGCTGACTAAGGGTAAAACATCTTTAAGCAGCCTAGTCGGGATGGGGTCTAAGAGGCAGGTTGATGGTTTAGATGAAGAAATTATTGAAGTTAGTTGGTAAAGATTGAGGGAAGCAAAACAGTCTAAACATGTATCTGGTTCTACAGCTGTTTCTAAGGTTCCTGAGTTAAGAGATAAGTCGGTGCCAATTGAGGGCAGGTCTTGGTGAATTTTGTCTCTAATAGCTAGAATTTTATCATTAAAGAAGCTCATGAAATCGTAACTACTGAGAGCTATGGGAATACTTGGCTCAATAGAGCTGTGACTCTCTGTCAGCCTGGCTACAGTGCTGAAAAGAAACCTGGGGTTGTTCCTATTTTCCTCTATTAATGACGAGTAGTACGCTGCTCTGGCATTACGGAGGGCCTTCCTATAAGTTTTAAGACTATCTTGCCAAATTAAACGAGAATTTTCCACTTTGGTGGAACGCCAATTCCTCTCAAGTTTCCGTGATATTTGCTTTAATTTGAGAGTTTCAGTATTATACCATGGAGCTAACCGTCTTTGTTTTAGTATTTTCTTTTTTAGAGGGGCTACAGAGTCGAGTGTCATTCGCAGCGAGCCTGCAGCACTATCAACAAGATGATCGATTTGGGAGGGACTGAAATTAGCAAAGGAGTCCTCCGTTACTTTGTGACTAGATAATGTATTTAGAGCTGATGGAATCGCATCCTTAAATTTAGCTATAGCACTATCAGACAGACATCTTGTATAGAAATTTTTGCCCAATGGCGAGTAGTTCAGCAATACAAACTCAAAAGTTATCAAACAGTGGTCGGATAAAGAGGGATTCTGTGGGAACACCACTAAATGTTCAATTTCAATACCATACACCAAAACAAGGTCAAGGGTGTGGTTAAAACAGTGAGTCGGTTCATGAACACTCTGAGAGAAGCCGATGGAATCTAACAAAGAGATAAACGCAGTACTGAAGCTGTCATTCTCAGCATCTACATGAATATTAAAATCCCCTACAATAATAACTTTGTCCGTTTTAAGGACTAAAGTTGACAAAAACTCTGCAAATTCAGATAAGAATTCAGAATACGGGCCAGGTGCTCGGTACACTATAACAAAAAGAATTGGTTGCAGTGATTTCCAACTTGGGTGCGAAAGACTAAGAACAAGACTTTCAAATGAGTTATAGTTTAGTTTAGGTTTAGAGCTGATTAATAGGCTAGAGTCGAAGATAGCTGCAACTCCACCTCCTCGGCCTGTGCCTCGAGGAATGTGAGTATTAATATGACTGGGAGGGGTGGATTCATTTAGGCTAACATATTCTCCATCACCCAGCCAGGTTTCAGTAAGACCAAATAAATCAATATCATAATCTGATATTAGTTCATTTACTAGTACACCTTTAGAAGAGAGAGATCTGATGTTTAAGAGTCCACATTTAACTCTCCTATTTGTTTGCACTATTGCTCTTGTGGTTTTAATTTTTATAAGGTTTTTATGCACAGCTCCTCTTCTGTTTACCTTTTTAAATAATTTCGATGGTCGGGGGACAGACACCGTCACTATAGGGTTTTCACTAAGTAACTCCTGAAATGGAGGAGCAGAGAAGTGTGTTAGACTGCGACTCTGCGTAGGGTTTTGGGTGGGTAACTGCTGAAAAAGAAGGGCAGAGAAGTGTGTTAAACTGCGACTCTGCCTCCTGGTCTCAACTCTGGGTTGTCATGGATTTGGTCCACTAATAAACTTGGCCAGATTTCTAGAAATGAGAGCTGCTCCTTCCCAAGTGGGATGGATGCCGTCTCTCCGGATC